GAAAAAGGGATCAGGATGGTATGGAAATTCACCCTAAACAATACAGAGTAATCTAAAAACCTGAAGGTTACCCCAAGCTACCTCAAAAGCTCCACTGTGCTGCCACTGCAACTGTAAGCCCGTAATGTAGGTTAAATCTTTACCCTCCTAAGTCTATGCCTGAATATACCCTTGAGCTTACCTGTGAACTGCATTGACCACGTGGTCAAAGATGGCTCCTAACAATTAAGGCTGTGTCATCAATGCTCCAGAAAATCTCAAAACCTGGTCTTTGAGCATGCCATTCCATTGTTGAGATTGCAGAAGTCCACAAAGATCCCAACCTTCCCGTTTGGGTCGAACTATGTTGCTCACCCACTTAGCTGTTTGGGCAGGGAAAATAAAGTTGCAACCAGCAACTTTTAAAGTCTTCCTAAAGAGAATTGTGGCAATGACGCGTTCTTTGGAAAATTACATACTTCATCTTATTGTGGATGACGTCCATAAGAATGCCAGGAAGCTGAGAGCTCCCGTGCAGAGATGCAACCTATCTGCATTGTAGGTAGAAAGGAAATTCCTGATGAAGAACGGATCAATGCCAATGTAAAGAAAAACATGCTTGCACCTGGAATCTGGATTATGATCTTGAGCTCGAGGATAGTCGTGGCAGGAGCTTTTTGCCTCCCTCATCGAGTTTATCACATCGTGCAATAACTTATCAGCCCAAATCTTCCGGGGGACACTAAAAGGACATAGGACTACAGCCCACTGCCATAGGTCATGTATATGCTGCTTATGAACCTCAAATAATTGATGGACAACAAGCTGTGAACCCCCACCAAGCATAACATGACTAAGTTCTTAGTCTTTGGCGAGCTGAAGGGCTGAGATGACGGCCTGACTCATGGGCAGAGCTAGAAAGAAGCATTAGGGCAAGATGAGCAACAATTTTTTTATGAGATTCCAGAATCCAAACACCAATCCCAGTTTTCTTAAAGCATCTACAAAAAAGCTTCAGATACTGGGTTTTAATTTCATCTTCAAGCTCTGTCTCTGAAGAAGGTCTTCAACATATTCTCCATGAATCTGAAGTGTCAACATCTGGTGACCAAGCTTGATGGTTGTTAATCAAATCTAGTCAATCACCCTCCATGTTAATCATATACTGTTGAGATAGTTTTCCTCCAAAACCGAGTTAAATCCAAGTTCCTTGACACCCCACAAACTACAAATGTACAACAATAATAATCCATCATTGTTACCTTTGTTTTTTTAAAGAATGATGTTTATCCATATACTTGCACCACCCAAGGAAGGGGGAATAGTCAAACTCCCCTTACTAGCCCATGTCACTGGCGAAAATTCTGCCACATGGCCTGCTATGTGGCGAGTTCTTCCAAGAATGTGGAAGCACGAAGTCAGCGGGAGTAATAGTGATCCAGACAGAGATTTGAGGATCTAATTGGCCACTCAGTCAGATGCATATTCAATTTCCAGCCACCAGTCTCCCCACACCAAGATTCAAGGAATGCTGCTCACTAGAGACTCTTCCTATCCAAGAAAAGGTGGCACCCTATTCCTAGCTCCTAAGATCCTTTTGGGTTTGCAACTCTTTAAGAACACTTGTAAATGCCTTTAAATATTGTTAAACACTTCAGAAAGGGGGTGAGTCCTAGCCTAACCCTTCATTGTCATTGCACTCCTTTTTATAGCTGACTCCCCCCGCTGATTTCCTCTAGATCTCTGCTGTCCTCTAGTGCAGATTCTTCTCCCATGACTCCTAGGGAATATTCGTGCATCTCCATGTCACACCCTAGACACCACATCAATCAAACATGACTTTGACTATTTCCAGAGTTTGGATGGTACAACTGTACCACCTTGCCACCACCTAGGATGCAATGCTAATTGCATCCTCACCAAAATCCTACTCAATTTGTAGATTCCACTCTAACTAATAGATATGGAATCTTCTATCTTGGAAGCCGATTATCCCTGTGTCGGCTTCTACTTCTCCTCTAACTTGTCTTGGCTAGATTCTGCTTGTTTTATCCTTGCAGCATTCTCCATATAGGTTCTCTACTAGCCATGCTGGCTTCACTTGGCTTCCTCCAACTATTCTCTTTAGCTAGACTCATAAATTCCATCTTGAGAATCTTTGCATCAAGAGAATCTATTTCCCTTTTTCTATAACCACTTCCTTCTTCATCTTGAACTTGACCACTTGAGATCTCCTCTCAGCTTCTTGCCTCGTCACTACCATATTTGGCTCCTCATATCCCTCTACTCT